CCTCATCGGACTCCCCTGACAAGGCAGGGGATGGCAAGGGCAGAACCCGCTGCCTAGGTGGGCGCTGCATCAAGGCGCGCACCATGCGCGTCACAAACCCATCCATGGCAGAGGAAAAATATTCCAGGGACAATGCGGTACCGCGGTACCACCGACCCCCCCTGAAGAACCGGAGGGACGCACGGATGATTGGCAAAACAGCGCAGGCGTACAGGACGCACAAAGAGGGGGTCTAGAGGGGCCAGCAGAGCGCAGCCCACAACCCCCACACGGCAACGTAGGAGAGAGTCATCCCTGCGATCCAATCTATACCGCAGAAAATACCCCACTGACCGGAGACCACCAGGCAAAGGGAAGAGGGACCCACAGTAATTCAAGACCCTCAGCATTTATTCCGGCCCAGATAGCAGACCCTGCAAAGCGGAGGAGCTCTGCACGCCGTATCCTCCCCATGCTTTTTTTTTCAGTTTTTTGCTCAGCTGGAATTTTCCGGGTTTGTTTATTTATATTTTAAAGGGCAAAAAGGGAAATAAATCTTACCTTGTAGCAGGAAGTGTGCTGACACGGGTGAAGAAAACCGAGGGTTCTACATCCACGTGCAACCCAAGGGACAGGTTCCGGTAATACCCTTCAACATGACCTGGACCTCCGGAGTACTTAAAGTTCAGAATCCCTTCCAGAGTCTGCAATAAAAGGAACAATGTGGTAAATTTAACATCTTTTGGGAACTGGATGAGAAAAATTAGAATCTCCCACCATTCTGAACATTTTCAAATACACCCATTACAGATAAATAAATGGATTCAGACTTTTTGTGGGCTAGTATAATGGCCCTTGCATTTGTAAAGCGTCCTAATGGTCTAATGAAACCAACCAAACTCTCCCCCAGTAAGACTTCTCAATCCTGTCCTGCAATGAAGCAACTGTGAATTTTTATCAAGAAAGTAACATGCATCAGTTTTTTGTAGGGATGTACAGATACTTTTCGAGTACCAGTGCAGATACTTGGCATTTTCATGAGAACTACCAGGGTTGCAGCGGTTGCAGCTGGGACCTGGCTCTGGCGCTCCACCGCTGTCCTGAAATCATTAGTCTGTATTGTTTTAGAAAAACTGTCACATGACACTAAACAAAAATGTATCAGTACTCGTACTTGTAAGTACTCGGCAAGTACCAGTACTCGTACTCGCAAAACTGGTATCTGTGCATCCCTTTATTTATATTTATAAAAACAAAATCATACATTAATACAGAGATGTACAAATCCCGGGAGCTCCGTGTGCTCCTTACAAATGACAGCGGCCTCCTAACTTCTGAATTTTTCTCTAGTCTAGTCTTGGAGTGCAAAAGTATCGGTACATGTACTCATACTTGTACCGAGTACTGTACTTGGTATCTGTGCAACCCTAGTTTTTTGTGTGTTGACCATTTTTACAGACTTTCCACCTTCATATTTTTGCCCAATATTTCCTTTGGAGTCACAGAAATAGAAACTCAGATGGCTGCGTTATCAGGATGGGACATGGCCATTGCTGGAGGTATCTTCCCACATTTCATCCCTGAAGACTGGAGGCCTGGGATGCTGGCTGTGGCTAGAACACAAGTTAGGGTAAATATTAGCATGTAGTGCAACCTTTATGAAAAAAATTTAAAATATCGAGGTACAGATTGCTTGAAAATGGAGGAACGAGGCAATACTGATTTTTTTTTAAGGTGGCCGTAGCTTTAATATTCATAATATACAATAGTACTTAAAAGAGAACTATGGGGTCAGTGTTTTTCCCCATAGTTCTCTTAAGGGTCACAGGGGGACATATACTAGCATCCTCCCGTGACCCAAAGCTCAGTATATCGCGAGCTACCGAGCCCGCCGCAGCCGGGACGGATCCCGACATTACTGTCGAGATCCACCCAGCTGCGTGAGTGACAGATGTCTCTGCCTATCTAGAGGCAGAGCCAGCTGTACCCACCCCCTCCCCGTCCGTTCCTCCAGTCAGCGCTGGAGGATCGGAGCGAGGAGGGGGGGGGGATCCCTGCGGGGAGCGGTGACTGACAGCTACTGCTCTCTGCAGGGAGGTGATCGAGAAGTGACCGAGCGACGGTATGTGTTCACTCACTTACCGATCTATTGAGCCGACGTGTGACAGTTTCATTGTCACACGGCGGATCGAACTATGAGGCTATGATTTTCACTTACCTCATAGTTCTCCTTTAACCACTTTATTACTTCTATATAAGGTCAGCTGACCAGGCTGATTGAGCTTATATCTAAATCAAGTCAGCTGACCAGACTGATTGAGCTTACAATAGGATTGTTCACTTTGGTCCACCAGGTGAAATGGGTAGCATGGATGGCTGTGGCTCAGTTTTACCAATTCTAACGGTCGTACGGGTCTTCTTTTTTATTTCCATACAAGGTCACCTGACCAGGATGGCTGAGCTTATTTTAGGATATTTCACTTTGGTCCAGCAGGGTAATGCAGTGGCAGGGATATAACTATCAGCAGAAAGGGACACGGCATTAAGTGAACCATTGAAGGGATATACATAAGTCGTTTTACCGCTCCTTTAAGCTTTATACTCTAAACACGGTGAAAATTGAATTTTAGGAGAAACTCATCTAGCTTAGATTTGCCTCTTAACCGCGCAGATCCTCCAGAGAACGCCAGAAAACAAGAAAACAACATATGCTGCAAAATTCCAGGTGTCACTTAAAAAGATAAGCGCGCCTGCTAAGGATTCGGAAAGTTGAACGCTCTTTTCATGCGTCGTGTCAGTTTTGCTGTAGATTTACAACAAGGGGCTCTCTTGAAGCATTAATTGAAAAAAGGAAATTTGAAGTGATAAAGAACACAACGATCGTAAGAATGATGGAAAGCAAAAAGTCTTGAGACTCCTCTTTGGGATATTTAAAGGGGTTCTCTGCCTTGCCCACAGATGTATTCTTGAACCATTGAAAGGAGCGATTTTAGTTGGTCTCAGGACCTCAGAAGCTTTAAGCCTGTCCTACCGAATCCAAAAATAAAACAGTTTTGGTTGCAATTAATTTAAAATGAATTAAAACAAAAAGGAAATCTGAAGTGATAAAGAACACAGCGATCTGAAGAATGATAGAAAGCAAAAAGTCTTGAGACATCTCAAGGGGTTCTCTGCGTAGCCCACAGGTTTATTTGAACCACTTAAAAAATGGACTTGGGTGGAGGTCCTGAGGACCACAGAATCTTTACGCTAGACCTACTGAATCCAGAGTTGGGCTCATTCAAATGGTGAGTTCCTGCAAGGTGTGTACTTAAGTGTGGTGCCATTCAATGTGATTGGCTCCCCAATACACTGCACAATAATGCAACTTAATGGAACTTAATGTCGAAAAAGGACAACCAATACATGGGGGGCTCTGTTGGGAAGCCCCCCATGTCTTCATCAAAAGTCGATTTATTTTTTTGATCAACTTTTATCAAAGGAGCAGGTCCACAAACTCTCACCCAAAGAGTGACTGCAGCCAATGCTGTATTCTGACAAAGGCACACCCAATGCTCTAAGGATAGAATAGGCCAGTGGGGGGAAATAGGGTTTGACAAGGCTCATGTATGGCCAGCCTTACACAGGGGTCCCACAGGGGTTCTAATCTTCGCCATTCTATACAAAACTAGAAGACAATGTGGACCAGATATACACTTTAAAGAAGAACTCTAGGTACATTAACCTTAAACACTCAGGTAACCCAAGATGAAAAAGAATACTTGACCCTTGCAGTACGGTTGTGTCGTCCCCCCTGCAAGGGTCAAGTATTCGTTTTCATCTAGGGTCCAAAATAACAAAGATCTACTCACCCAAACTTGGTCCTGCATGGCTGGTAGACTGCCTGCCGCCTCTCCCCCCTTTGGCTCCAGTGATGGAATGTCTCCTGGCGTCCTCATGTCTAGATGTGATGACACACAGATCCTTAGACTGCAGAAACAGAGGGGGAGAGAGGCTGCAGGGATCGGACTAGCAGCCAGGTGGGTCTGAGGTTCAGGTGAGTATCTCTTAATTATTTTGGACCCTAGACCAAAATCAGCACTTAACCCTTGCAGTGCAGGGGTAGACCCACTACAAGGGTTACATTTTATTCTGCCCTGTGTTCTTCTTTATTAAAACACGTAACCTGACTAGGGGTGCTCACATAACCTGACCAGGGGAGCTCACATTTTTGCATACAAGCGTACAGCTAAAAAAAAAGTTAAATTAATTATAAGGAAGGTTTGCCAGGATGTAAATCTGTCGGATGCTGAGGTCCCACTGGGATCAATTTATTGTTATTTGTTTTGAAATACCCCCTTCCGAAGCATGGAGTGTCAGGGAATGTGTCACATATCACAGGAAAATCAATGCGGTCACTTGCCTTTGCTCGATAAAAAAACAAACTTTACTTTATTACCGACAGATCATCGCCCTGAGATGAATGACATCACAGGAGCCGAGTCATTCCAGGGCCGCTCTCTGGAGTACAATCCCTCGCGCTGTGACCCCTCCGCCCTGACTTCTCTTCTTTACACATCAGAAAACTACAGAGCACAAACCAGAAGAGAGAACTGGCCGCTTTTTATAAAACCCGATTTAACAAGTCCATTCTTTGGAACAATAAATAAATGCACACATCTTCATAAAAGGAAACAAAAATGTGCATGTAATTAATTTTTTTGCATTGGAACCAATAACGCATTGCAACCGTGACAATTGGATGGCGGGTGCAATGCTCTGACTCCTGCAGACTCTTTCTCCCGACCATACCATCCACAACTCTGACCCAGGTTACATCTCCAACCTTGTCTCAAAGTATCACCCTAACCGTCCCCTACGCTCCTCCCAAGACCTCCTGCTTTCCAGCTCCCTAGTCAACTCCTCCCATGCTCGCCTCCAGGACTTCTCTAGAGTCTCTCCCATTCTTTGGAACTCCTTACCCCAACCTGTCAGTCTTTTTCCCCACTCTGACTGCCTTTCAGCGATTACTACTCATCTCTTTAAGGAAGCCTAAAAACAAAAAAGGACAAGCGCTCAACCAGGGGGTACAAACTTACACTGCCCTCCAGTGCTCTTTGACCCTCCCGGCCATTCCCGCCGGCGTCCGTTCCTGCCCGAACCGCCGCTCCGCTTCTCGAGCCGACTGACACAGAGCTGACGGCTAACAGCACCTTGAACACACAGTGCCCTCGGCTGCAACGACCCAGCCTGGCCAGCTGAGTCCTTGCAAGAGACAGCTGTTCTTCCGTCACAGCCCACGTCCTCGCAGGCAGTTCACCCACCAGACCACTGGACTCCTTAGGTCTGCACTCACCCAGGGTCCTCACTGGATTTCCTCCCACAGATGACTTCTTAAACGTGAGTTTCCCTATATGCCTAGTACAGTAGTAGCGCTCTCAATACAATTTTCAATCATTTCTTTAAGGAAGCCTATCACACTTCAAACTAACCACTGTACTATCACTTTCTCAAACAATATTCCCCACACAGCTACCTCCTCATGCATCACTTGCCCCTCCCTCTTAGATTGTAAGCCCTCCTTACCATCTTGTCTTGTATTGTAATTATAATGTCTTCCCTATATTGTAAAGCGCTGCACAAACTGTTGGCGCTATATAAATACTGTGCAATAATAATAATAACAATACCAGTACCTCAGTACGGACGTTCAGTAACATGAACA